GTAAAAAATGCTCCTCCATCAAACACTACCAACTTTATCGATCATAATAGAGCAAATATCACAAGTAGGCTAAAAGAACTTTAAATTTTAATCAATCTTATTAACTAATTATCTTCTAATGAAAACTTGCATTACCATTGACATACATTTGGTTCTTGTAGCTGAAAACCATGAAGTTCCAATTGGCACATTGGTAATTGTTTATCTTCTCTTGTATATGTCATTCATTACTATATATATATATATATATATCTACTATTTTATTAGCTTTAGAAAACAACATTTATGAGAAGAAAAGAAAAAAGCATTTTAGAATAACTAAAATGCCATTTTGATCAGCAAACAATTGGTGTAATTAATTTTGCATACGACCTTAGTATGTTTACAATGAGTGATTTTTACAATATAACTAGGTTGGTGATGTATATTAATTCATGTGATATTTTTTTATTTAAATAAATGTTTTACTAAAATGTAAATAATAGGCAAAAATCAATTAGTTGTAATAAAAAGATAATGGGTTAAATGATAGATTTGAAATTTCTTTTGAATTTTACTTTGAAAAAAAATGAAAATTTTGAATTTGATATTCTGAGTGGGAAGGCAATTATATTATAAAAATAGTATGAATGTATTTTTTAATTTGATAGTTGATTTGTCATGTTTCTTAAGAAAACTACTAAAGGACATAATTACATTATTCTAAGATTCCATCTCTTTTAAGAACAACTATCTTACTAAAAATTTTATGAGATTCTTACTCTGCTTAATATATATTTCTTTTATTTAAATGATATCAGATAATCATAGTTTTAAAATAATTAACTATTTATTATATACTAGATTAATTGATCTATAAATAAAGGCAATAAATTGCTATTTTGGCAGCTCAAGTTTTTGAATTTTAGATAGTTAATTATGTTTTTATTTTTTTAATCTTTGAGATTATCAAATATTAAACTATATTATTAAAACTAAGAATCCAATACTCTACCAACAAATCATAAGATTGTTGGCTTATTATCTCTTTTACTCATGACCTTTTTTTCTGTTCGGTTAGGTTTTGTTCCCTTGGTTTAATGTTAATAACTAACAAGCTTGCTTTTATTAAAAAAAATTGAAAGGAATAAGATTTTCTTGAAAATAATAGCTCAATTGTGTAAAAGAGAAAAATGATATCTTAATAAAAGTTCCATAGGACACTAGAATATATGTTTGCATTTTGCTTTGAATCTGAATGATAATTAGGTAAATATCAAATATAAATGAGGTCAATAAAAGCTAATATGCATTATTTATATAATTCAATACTAATACAATCTTGAAATATTAAAGAAACTGGTACAAGTTAGTATAATGTAATACTAAAAGTTAAGACATAAAGAAATAGTAGCACAAACTTAACATCACAATACGTGACTATGTAAGCAAATTAGCACAATACTTATGAAATAGACATTTTTCACTTAAAATGAAGAATGGTTGTTCCTTGACGTAAGGTGTAGAAACATTGTTGGATGCACAATTTTATTTTTATATATTTTATAAAATTGTAATTTTATCTTATTTCATAATTAATGTAATACATTTAATTAATAAATTATAATTAATTTAATAATTAAATTAATTAACTAATTAATTAATATCATAACAATTAACTAATTCAAATTAAATTAATAATATTTTTTATTAATTTATGAAATTAATTATAATTCATCATGATTAACTAATAATATTTAATTTATTTAGTTAAATATCTTCAATTCTAATATTTATTATTATATTATATAAATTAATTAAATAATATTATTTAATTAATTATAATTTATTATGATACTAATGAAATACTATTAATCTAATTAAATTAACACCAATTTCATTAATTTAATCATAGTAAATAATTTTAATATTACTTTAATTAATATTAACATCATAATCATGAATTACTTTAATTAATTAATTTAATAATTAATTATAATTTAATATTATTTTTATTAATTTATTAAATGAATAAGAATTCATCATGACTATTTATTATTTTATTTAATTAAATACTACTAATTGGAATATTTAATTATATTATTGTTGAATTAATTTTAAAAATAATTAATTAAATATTTATTATGAAATGGTAATATGAATTATTTATTATTTATTAAATTAAATGTCAAATAATATTAAATTAATATTATTATTTATAGTAAATTTAAATAGTTAATATTGCTTAGATGATGAATTATAATATTTAAGTAATATAACAAGGTGATTCATATTCATGAATTCATTATTATTTAATAATATATTTTAAAATAAAATTTATTAATAGACTTGCAAAAAACTATTGTATTATTATAATTCTGGTTTATAGGTCTATTACACGTTTATATCCAAAGCTGTGTATAAAAATTATATGAGATATCCTAAATTTATTTGTAAGAAAATTTTCTTTTTTTTTTTTTGGTTGAAATGTTATACTCTTAATTTTACTTATCAAATTTTAATAAATCACATTTAAGGTTTAATTATAATATTGAATTACTTTATCATAATAAATTAAATTTGTATTATAATTATTTTGATTATGTTTTGGATATAATAACAATATTAAATTATTTATTATAATTAATAAATAATTAAATTTTTTGATATTAGCATTAACCTAATTATTGTTAATAGTAATATAATTAAATATTAGAATTATAATAATTAATTAATATAATATTAAAGTTTATATGAATAAAAATAATCTTAAATTATAATTAATACGATATTAAAGTTTATATGAATAAAAATAATCTTAAATTATAATTAATATATATCAAAGTTATTATTAATACAAAAATATTAAACTATAATTAATTTAGTAAATCCTTAATTTAGAATAATTAATTATTTCTATACTCTTTATTAAGTATTATTAATTAATTACATTAAATAGCACAACTAAACATCACAATATGTGACTATGCAAGAAAATTAGTACAATACTTATGAAAATAAACTATTATAAAGAAAAATATTAATTATCAAATACACATAGAGCTCTTGCAAAAATTAATCATTTAAAATTTCACAAATCAAATATATCCTAAAGACTTATGTAAAGAAAATGAAGAAACCTTTTATCTAACTATCATTTATAGCCATAACACTACTATAATTATTTATTTTTTGGATAATTAAAATACTAATTATTAAATTACTTATATATCTTTTGGCCAAACAAAGAAAAAAAAAAAAAAAGAAACTACGCAGATAACTCTTGCCAAAGTACCTAAATTGTTCATTTAAAATTTCATATTATTAAACTACATATATAGCTCTTGCCAAAATACCCAAATTGCTCGCTTAAGCTTTCATAAACTCAAATGTCTCGAGAACACTTGTCAAGAGAAAAAGCCTTGTCCCTAACTTTCATTTATAGGATATATATATATATATATATATATATATATATATATATATTCAACGATGAGTACTTATTTTAGTAATACCAAATAATTTTAATGATTTTTAGAAGAAAGTTGAATTGTTTTAAAAAATGATTACAAATTATGTTTTAAAAGGAAGGAATATATTATATATAAAATGATGTCAATGGGTAGAATATAGATAGGGTAAAGAATTTTTTATCCCTATCTTGGGATTTTTATATTATATTTATTCTTGTATCCATATCTAATAGATGTTTTAAATTTATTCTTATCATCATCTTTATGAGTATTTAATGAGTATAAGTAATTCTCATACTTATAGCTTTAAAAAAAATTTAAAATTTATTTTTTTAGCTTTTTTTATGTTTATCTTGTATATTTAAGTTTTTTTTTTATAAATATATATTAATATTTTTTTCAATTAAATATATTAATTCTAATTAATCTAAAATAATAATAAATATTATTTAATAATAAATTTATTTACTAAATATATATAAGATACGAATACGGGTACTATATTATTCATCCTCATCCCTATCGCCATCCCCATACTAAATAAAAATTTAGAATCATACTCATAAGATAATATTTATTTTCATACTCATTTAGATAAAAAGTAGAGTTATTCATTGGGCATGAGTAAAATTAATATTCTTATATATATATATATATATATATATATATACACTAATGTGAAATTAACATTTCATTAATTTTTTTCTTAGTAAAATGAATAATAAGAAATTTGAAAATTCAGTAGTGAAAAGTGGCTTAATTTTTTAGAGGAACATTTAAATCTCTTTTGAACGGGCGTATGGCTTAACTTATTCTAAGTGTTTTTCTATCATAAAAGCATAAACCAGGTATTTAACTCACAAAATTTTAAAATTTTTAACTCATTACTAAACCTATAAATTAATAACAATTTTTTCAAAAGTTACTAATAGTTAGTAATGTGATTTTTTTTTTTTATATTTTACCATTAAATAATTTATAAAACAAAAAGGCTATATGCGCTACATTATTGCACTCATTCGAAACACATACCATTTTTTCTCCAACTAAGCATTTTGATTTATAAAAAAAAATCACATAATTTTAATACATTTCTAAAATATTACAAACAGAGAAAAGGATTAAAGGGAAGAAGAAGGGAAAGGAGGAACAGTCATCGGTCGAATTGAGAAATTCAATGCCAACTTGTCCCTACCCTTTTCTTTTTTCTCTCCTCCATTTTCCTTATTTCTCTCATCCACTCAAACACTCACCATTCCTTGGTTCTGTTGTCCCTCCCCTCACCTCTTCTCCTAGATCTTGCCTCTTGCAAGCCACATCACCAACAATAAGATAATGCTGGTCGACATATAAAAAGACAAGGAGATTAATTGGGAAAAGGGAGGATAATTTGGAAAAAAAATTCATAAAATCCTAAAATAAAATAAAAAAAACTCTTTTTTGACAAACATTAAATCTTAAAATCAATTTTCAAATTCAATTTTCAATTTTCATTTTGAAATCAGGCCCAGCCCAAGTATACGATGATACTCAAACCCAGCTATGCAACTCAAAATGAAAAAGGGTTCACCCAGTTAATTCTGCTAAAATACGTGGTTGGTGACACAGACACTCCGGACACTTTCTTGCAGCCCAAGGACTTGCCTTTTCTTGCAGACACTTTCTGGCGGCGGCTCAAGCCCCCAACGTTCGGTTTGCTTGAGAAGGTTTTTCTTGGGTATTCAGTGGAATTGGAGTTTGATAAAAATGGCGGCCTCCAGCTCTGAAAATGATTCAAAAAATGAAGGTCCAAGCTCAAGGGAAGCAGAGCAGCCTCAGGTTGCGGCTATTCGAATGCCAACTGCGGAGGAAATTCGTGCTCAAGAAGTTTGGAATAATTGTGCAGTTCGCAGTGTCGTTAGTGGAGTTATGGGTAAATCGCAATTCCGTTTTCATTTTTGAGAAAATAATTTTGTTTTAATCTATTCTTTTTAAATGATAAATTGTTTGGCTGTTAAGAAAAAAAAAAAAAGAAAGCCAAAAGAAAGTTTTTAAAAAGATTTTAGGGTTGTGAAGTGGCTTTTAAGTTTGTGGCAATATTTGCAGGAGGTGGGCTAGGATTCTTCATGGGCTTGTTTTTGGGTGCATTGGATAATCCTATAATGCAAGATGAAATGACTGCTAGGCAACAATTAATTTATAACGCAAAGCAAATGGGACGAAGAAGCTGGAGTTCTGCAAAAGCATTTGCAATTATGGGCTTAGTTTTTTCTGCTGTTGAGTGTGTTGTTGAGAAGGTACTATAGAGAAGCTAGAAATCAAAATTCACACACACACATATACAGACACATAGAAGTAAAATTAGAAACTGAAATTTCTCGTGTGCTTACTCATGTTGAATGTTTGTTTTTAAGGCTCGGGCAAAGCATGACACCACAAATACTGTTATTGCTGGTTGTGTAACTGGGGGAACTATTTCAGCAAGAGGTATCTACTTTCGTTCTGGTCCTTGATACTACTTGTAATATCTCTGTGGTCTCGGTAAATGTTTCTTAGATAGGGGTATTCATATCTTCATTAGCATAGAAAAGGTTTGCATTCAGAACACTTAGGAAGTCTCTAATGCAGATTGTAGCATCTTTCGCTGACACTTTTGGTTCATCCACAACTATGTACCCGTGCACAATTAGGAGTGAGATGTTTATGAGTCTAAAGGAGGGTCATTTTATACCTTCTCCCCCCCCCCCCCCCCCAACCCTTTTCTTCCTTGTCTTTTTCATTTTAAAGAACAAAAGCTACTACTTGTTCATTTCTTTTATTTCAGATATGCATAAGTTGGATATCCTATTTGCTGCTTAAGAACTTTTATCACTAATGCAATATATAATTGAGATTTATTGTAAACTAATTTCATATCTGCTTTTGTTTCCTCCAATTTGTGCATTCTATAAAATCTCTTATTTTTTCCCCTCAAAATTTAACACTTAAGTTCAATCACCAACCTTTCTACTTGCTATTCACAGCAAGATTTTGAAGTTCCAAATAAAACTATTCATGCTACTTCTAAAGTATTTTTCTCTAGACTAGTTAAGGATCCATGTGCCTTACACATATGACCTTTATTAAAAAAAAAGGGGAAAACATGTTGAGTACTAGAACAATAAGATATGTAGAATATTATTTGATAGCAGTTAGTGATTTTTCCTAAAAGTTTAAAACATGCACTTGTTTTATCAAATTTGCACCAATACCTATAACCATCTCAGTTTCCCTAATTGAAATAGTTCTGTTCAACCTAAAAATGAAAAACAGTATGGTAGAATACAGATGACACTCTAAGAAGCTCAAGAAGCTAACAAAAATAAGATTAATTTATAATCTACTACTAAAGTTAGATCACCGAAGAATATGAATCTAGCTCCCTTTTGCTTCTTGTGCATTGTAGTATTCTCTTTGTAAGGTCAAGCATCTGATTAAATAAATAAGTATCTGAATTAATATTTTCCATCTCAATATAGGAGATTATAGGAGGATGAAAGAAAGGGGGAGAGAGGAAAGAGGGATTGGGATTTATTAATGTGGTAAAGATGGGAGAAGTGGTCACTGGAATAAATTAGTTCTATTGGTACCATATTGCTATATTACTGGAAATTTAATCCACTTAGAGCAATCCCTAAACTTTGAGTTCTTAAGCATTTTAATATCACAATTAGGGATTTAAACTATGGTAGTGGTTGCGTTTTCGGTTCCGTCATGTTTATCGTGATTATGGATCTAACGGAGACCATTGTAGTCATTGAAGCTGAATTTATGTGAATTGATATTGATCGCAATCTAGAGTTGGATTTTTGTTTTCATATTTTAATCGGAATGATTTTTTTTTCTTTTTTGGCTTTTTATATAGAAATTTTGGAAGGTAAACAAAGTAGTGGGAATAACGGTCCGATCAATGGCGGATCTTGACCTTTAATTTTGAGGTGGCCTAAGTACTATTTTATAATAAATTTTTTTTTAAAACATATCAAATTTATTAATAATAAAAAATAGATGCAAACATATAATAACAAAACTTATAATTATAAGTATGTTAATATGTAAATATATATATAAATAAATATAAATGAATATATTAAACAATTGGTATTATGATTTTTAATTATAAATCATTAACAATATTCTTTATAAAAATAAATCATTATATTTATTACAATATTAACACATTATTTTATCATATTTAATATTTAAAGTATTAAAGTGAAAAATAAAAAAATTATTTTATAATTTAAATACAATATAAGATGATTAGATAATTAAACATATTAATTGATATGAATATTTTTATACATGAAATGAAATGTATTTACCCTAATTATATTAAAATTTTTACATTACTAGTTTCTAAATTGCATCAATTTTAGTATAAATATTATTAAGACTTCATATATTAAGATATTTGTTAGTTTTTATAAAACTTCAATATATATTAAACTTAAATATTAGATATTTAAAAATATAGTGTTGAATAATATTTTTATATGCATTATATATTAAAATTTTATATAGTAAGATGAAAGTTAAAACATTCTGTAAGTTTTTTGAAAATAAGAGTTTATAATTTGATACAAATAATTTTGCAACTTATATATAGTTACAATTGAATTTTTAATGATAATATATATAATATTAAATTTATCTTGAGATTTAGACTAGTTGACTTTTATAAAAAAAAATAAAAATTATTATGAATATAACATATGTATAAAAAATTTCAAAAACTTTGGGGGAGCCAAGTAAAAGATTCGCCATTGGATCCGATATTACCACTATTCTCAACTACACTGTTTTTCGTGGCTGGTAGCAGCCACTTCCGTTGCGATTCAAATTTCATCCGTTTTTCTTTTGATAGCGGTGGTGGATAGTGGTTTTACCACAAAATAGCATTTTCTGTACCTCTACTTCACCGTTATTTGAATTCTTGATCACAATAGAAGACAATTCTGTTAAAATTTGTTAACTTCTTTACAGTTCTGATTATATCAAGAAAATGTCTGTATGGTGCAAAATATAATTGACCTTGAGTTAAAAGGTGCATGGGAAGCGAACTAGCCTTTAATTTCGTGAACTGAATGTACATTATGTACATACACCTGTCTCAATCTTTTATGAGCATTTACCGAGTAGCTTGATTTGAAAGTTACAAGTGTAGTACATTTTATGAGCAAACTGACAGAGAAAGCGGCAAGATTAATGCAGGATGTACTCATATAAAATGACTTTATTCTATAATTTACTGAAACATGTGAGGGTGAAATTCAAACTTACAAAATTAGTCTCACTTAAGCTATTCTTAGGATATGTTATAGATTAAGTTATGAGCAGTAGGCGGGTTGACATTATTACGAACATATCGGGTGTGTGAGGAAAAATAATAGACAAAAAGTGGAGGCAACTATTTTTTGTTCTTTATGTACAACTTATATGTCATGAAGTTTTAACCTCACTGTTCTCTTCAATACATTGTTAATTATAGAAAGAAATTTGTATCTATCTTGTGTCATTGCAGATCATGTTTGGATGCGAAGATTGGAAATTTTGTGGCTTTTCACCTTCCCACCCCTTTTCTTTAGCCAGTCTAGCACTTGCTGGGAGAATTTGGGTTGATATAATTAACCTTTTGCTTTAAGTAATTTTTTTTTGGCCAATCTGCTTTAAGGAACTGACAAATCCTTTTTCGTTGTAACTGTCCTCCGAATTGAAGTAATTTACTTTAAAGAAGCTACAGAGAAAAGAGGATTGAGAATAAGCTTTTTGCTCATGAGTGATGTTTACTACAAATACTTGTTCATGTCTTAGGTTTTCATCCTTCCCATGTTAATTCCAGAATTCTCTAGCTTATGATCTACAAATTCTGTCAAATGTTAATCTCCTATGTTTGCCAGCTTATATTATGTTGTTCATGACTTCACTCTGTTTTTAGTGTCCTAATTTATCTTGTATCTCATATGTTTCCCATGTTTATAGGTGGTCCAAGAGCAGCATGCGCTGGTTGTGCCGGCTTTGCAGCATTCTCAGTTGCAATAGAGAAGTTTTTTGATAGACATACTTGATGGGACCAGTAACCTGCTATAGTTTTGCAGACATCAATTTATTTAGAGTGTTGGACACAAGTCATAGCACGTTTCCCGTATCTTTTATGTAATTTTACATGATACAACACCAATCCTGATAACAATGAAAGGGATATACCATCAGGAACTTTATGGCTAAAATCTTTGCATGTTACGAGTTTTGATTCACTACATTTTGATCAGAGGATATACATCCAAATGTAATTGATTGGAACGTGGAGATATTTATATTGCTTGATGATTGATAAAGAGCTTAGTGACAGATATTGGGGAAAGCTAATGTAATAGTAGCAGCAATGACATGTTAGCCAATTACACAAATCAGTTCAAATATTGTTAGGAACTAAGTAGCATTTGAAAAAGGATTGTTATAATATGTCACTGCAGTAGTTTTGAAACTTTATAAGCTTATTTATGCCTTTAATTTGGTTGGAATGAAAGAATAAAAAAAAAAAATCACTGTGATGGTACTTGTGTTGAGATATGATCTTGAAAAATTATTTAGCGTAAATTACCTTTGCAGTTCCTCAAATTTTGGTCACTTATCATTTTAGCCCTTACAATGTAAAGGATAATGTCTCTGTATTTTAAGGTTGTAATGGAACAATTTTGCCAAATAGGTGATTTGTTGATAATTTATATAATTTGTTAGTAAAATATTGGATTTTTAATTTTATTAATTATAGATTAATTGTAATGGAATAAATTTTTTTTTCCAATATTCTCGATTTTTAAGGTTGTAAAGGAATAACTTTTTCTCAATATTTCTAAGTTCATTTCCTTCGCTAGACCGACTGCAAACAATATGGTTGATTTGCCTCGATCTTCTTCGCATTGTCAATTGGGGCAAATCAATTCCTCTATCATCTCCTTATGACCATCGATCCGTGAGAAATTAGATTAATGTTATGAATGATTATTAAATTATAATAAAATATTTAATATGATATATAAATTTTAAAAATATTTAATGTGATATTTAAATTATGAATTTATTAATTAATGTAATATTTGAAAGATTATTTATTTGTCATATATTATTATTTGAATTTAAAGTTAGTTACGTTAGAAACGAGTATCACATTAATTAACAAATTAATAATTCGGATACTATATTAAAAAATTTAAAATTTAAATATCATATTAAATATTTTAATATAATTTACAAGTCATTTATAATATTAATCTTTTTAAATATAAACAAAATGAGGCTTTATTAATGGCTTCAATCCCGTTTGCATGGCCATGGCATTCGGGTGTAAGACAATACCTAGAGAGATATTTTGTAGTTAAAAAAAAAAAATTTTAAAGACTTAGATGAAATCAATCATCTAAGAAGTAGAAATAAATTTTATCTCAAAATTAATTTAAGTACGTAGACTTAACTCATTTTTTGGCTTAAAAATAAGAATATGGAGTCAACCTTTTATACTTAAACTAACAAAGTTAAAAAGTTGGTGAAATATATTTATCTTTAACAAATTACTAGTATAATATTTTACTTCACTGCATAGTTATCTTTAAAAAAAAAATAAAAATAAAAAATAAAAAATAAAAATTTGATCATTAGCCTCTGTTTGGGATTGTGTCTAGATTACTCATTAACAAACCAAACTCAACGTTAGATTAAAGGAAAGTGGGTCAGTTTGTTTCTTAATTTTTTAACTTCACAAACTCTTTGGGACATTAATGATCTTCTCTGGTTGGTTTAAATGGAGCATTTTTCTTCCTTGCAGCATGTGTTTCGTATCTATCATCCCCGTCACAATCACCACCTCACAAGTTATTTCATTATTGGTGATGTTTTATCAACCTATTTCATTATTAAATTTAAATCAACAATGAAATATATATTTTGATAATAAAAATAATATTAATAATGAGATTAAGGATTGTAATAAGAAAAAATAATCATTAAAAATATTATATTAATATTTATATACAATAGAATTTTTAGCATATTTGACATTTATAAAGTTAACAAATAATGTGGCCAAAAAAGTTAATAAATAATTGAAAATAACTAAAATTTTTTATGTCAAATAATAATTTGATAAAACTAATTGAAAATGACGGTAGTATATCAAATAACTTTTTGTTAAAATTGATAATAATAACTTTACACAAGTTGAAACTTAAGAAAGTAATATTCAGTTTATTTTTTTAATTTATTATATGATAATTTTATCTTATATAAATAATAATTATTTATTAAAAAATAATAATACATATACTCATATAAAAATAATTAATATTTATTTTCTTTAACATTCATGCGGTTATCTATTGTTGTTAATTTAATATTAATTGCAAAGATCTATATTTTAATAATTTATTTGATTATAAAATTTATTATTTATTTATGTGTTATTGTAAGTTTTAGATGTTTATTTTTTAATTAGTTTAATATATAATTATAAAATTTTTATTTATTATGTTAAAAGTTATTTGAAAATTTTATAAATAAAAATGCGAGAATGGAAAAAAAGGCTAAATAATAAAAATATTTTCATCCTTGCACTATAATTCTTCAGTATTTTTGGAAAGAGGCTACGTAGTGAGAATTGAAAATTTATACAAGATCTTTAGAGGGCATTTGATTTGCAAAATCTTATATTTTGGAAGATACAATCATTTAGGGGAAAGTGATATTAAAAGGAAATGTGTGATTCATGAGTTTTTGTTAACTTAGAGAATGTAAAATTTTTGTATTTGATTCATAAGAATGTAAGATATTACCTAATAAAATTTTTTACTATATTATTCTTAATTACACGTAAATAATATGTATCATTCATAATACTAATATGTAAATAACACGTTATTATCCTTACATAGAGAAAACTCATGGATCGAAATTTATAATATTAAATAAATGTATTTTAGATTTTATATGTAATAATATAATTTTTTATTTTTTTAAATTATGTTTTTATCTTAGAAACATCTTATTTTTAATAAAGATTGCGTTTTTTTTATCTTAAAAACGTAGTCTTTGTTGAATTCTGAATTTTTTTTTATGTTTCCAACAAAGATTGCGTTTCTTATCTTAAAAGCGTCATCTTTATTGAATTCTTAAAAATATTTTTTATGTTTTCAATAAAAACTGCTTTTTTATTTTAGAAATATTATCTTTTCAACAAAAACTGTATTTTCTATTTTAGAAACATCATTATTGTTGAATTGTAAAAAATATTTTTTTATGTTTTCAACAAAGATTGCATGTTCTATTTTAGAAACGTCATCTTTATTGAATTATAAAAAATATATTTTTAATATTTTTAACAAAGACTACGTTTTCTATCTTAGAAACATTATTAGCTCAAAGTGATCAATTACTACGGTTTATCAATGATAACATTTTCATAACAAGAAACAGTCATTGATATAAAGAAATATAAACCAAAATTTAATTTTATCAGTTACTACATGTTTTACATACAAAACATAGATAAAAGAAAAATAAATATTATATTATATTGACAATACCAACAAAAATTATGTTTTTATATAAAAAACTTTTATGTTTTATCAATTATTACATTTTCATACTAAGAAACGTTATTGATATTGAAAATATAAAATTTATTTTGTTATTATTTTTTATGATCAATTACGTTTCATATATTAAAAATGTAGTACTTATGAAACTATAAAAAAAATTCAAAATCCTAATTTTGAAACAATTTCTTACGTTTTTCTTTTTAAAATATTGTTTTATTATAATTAACTTTTTTCATAACATATTATAACTTATGATTACATTTTTAATATAACAAAGTTGTGTAAATGAAAATTTTTTATTTATTAAGATTTTATTTTATACATCCTTTAACTACATTTATAATTAAAAAATGTTACCTTTTTGAAATTTTAATAGTTAAAAACAAATATTTAAATTTATAAAAATTCAAATTTACATGATTATTTTTAGGTGTCCAATCACGTGTCTAGGAATGTAGTTTTGTATGTTAGAATGGATCTAAATTTATCATGTAACTATGTTGATTTTCAATTGTAAAACAAACCATAAAAAATTAATATTAAGGTCAAAAGCGAAATAAATTTTACATTTCTCTGAAATCTTAAAAAAACTTAAGAGATATAGGTTTGTGATTCAAAATTGTCACCCTTCTTTTTTGACACTATTGAAAATCTTAGAATACCTTAAGAATTAGGAAACGTAAACAAAACTAAATAATTAAATTATGAAAAATAAGATTCTAATCAATAATCTTTCTCCCAAATCAAATACACTTCTAAAGTTTACTAAGATTTTAGTTCCCAATGTAATTAAAAAGGTTCCAATTTCATTAGTGGTTGTTACCCAAACTGGTCCGCCAATGCTAGAAATTCATACTTTTTCAATGATCACTTTTCCTATTGAAATTTAAGATTCTGCGAATCAAACGCTCCTTTAAGAGTTCACTAAGCTTTTAATTCCTAATGACGTTGGAAATTGGGAAAGTTACCCAAACAATCCACCAATGCAGTGGGGACCCCAACTAATTCATAGTTGAGCTAAATGTTGATCCAAAATTGATTATTAAACATCTAGTAGAATTTTCAAATCCCAATACATTCCTTTCTTGTTTTACCTTTATTTTTTTAATTTTTTTCCTTAAGATTACAATGCAAGGACAAAAGCCATTCATTCCTCATTCTTTTTCTTTGTTACATTTTAAAAATTTTAAAAATTACTTTGTTTTATTTAACTCAAATTGCTTTATTAATTTGACATAATAAATAAATTTATATATGTCATAATGGTTTTGGAGACTGTTTGGTGAATTTTTAAAAAATAAGCCATTCATTCCTCGTTCTTTTTTTTTTTGTTACATTTTTTAAGTTTTTCAAATTACGTTGTTTCATTTAACTCAAATTGCTTTGTTAATTTGATATAATAAATAAATTTATATATATCGTAATTGTTTTGGGGACTTCTTGATGAATTTTTAAAAAACAAGGATCCTCGTTATAGAAAATGGTATCAATTAATTATTTTTTATCCATTAATCTTGTAAAAAATGATCTTAATTTTGGCATTTAAAAATAATTTCCTTAACTTCACTTTATTATTATCAAAATTTTCTTAAAAATTATTTCATTTTATTCAAAAAATAAATTGGAACCTTGTTATAGAAAAATTCTTCAAATGTTTCAATACATTGGTAATACTAAAAGAAATTTTCTCACCTAAAGATTTTTAAGGAATAATTACTCAAATTTTCTTAGAATCCTATTTTCAGAGGCTTACAATTAATATTCTCGCATTGTTATATATGACCTTATTTTTCATAAAAAAGTCTTTTTTTATTATTATTTTATATTTTTTATTAAGAAAAATAAATAAATGAAAATCCTTTTGTATTGAACATATTTCTAAATATTCTAGTACTTTGGTAACATTTTAGAAAAATATTCTTACTTAGAGATTTATAAAGATGGAATTCCTTCATATCTCATCATTAGAAGATTTTCATTATTTTTTTTTAACATT